AGTGCATCTATTTTATTGTCACTCAGAAATCTCCTATTGATTAATATCCTTTCATATATATATATTTAAAATTTTCACAAATCCCACATTTTCAATTTAAAGCATTTGCAATATAATGTCAAGCATACAAGCATTTGCCTACCATACAAGCATTTGTCAATCCAACAAATTGCTATCAAACTGTGAAGGTTTTTGAAAATTGCAAACAATACTTTCACTATTTCAAAACAGTGTTCCCTCAACACCTTGGAATAGTCGTTGATATATATGTTTTTATATTTATATTTATTTATTTATTCAAAAAGCAAAAATTGACTAAATCAAACTTGATGCAGTAATGTTGTTGGCAAGTTGCAGTGATATAGTTCTAAAAATCCTTTTTCTCTAAAAGTTTTGAATGATGCTATAAAGTGTTGTAAAAATGAAAATATATAAATTCAAAATTTTCTAAATTATATTAAAATAATATTTGAATGCCTTTTTAAATTTTAAATTTTTTAATATCAAATAAATCAAATTTATTTTTATTTATGTTTCTACTAAGTTAAAATTTTGTTGTATATAATTTTTTAATTTTTAGATTTTTATGTGATCAGCAATCAATCCCTAAAAGAAGATTAATGTAATCCTCTTTAGTTGATGATCAACATTTTCTTTTATTTAACATAATTTGATATCGATGTTTAAACCAATTTTTTTGTATTCTATTGTAGGTCACTACCTTAATCTAACAAAATAAATCTTTAGATATATATATATATATATATATATATGTATATATATATACATACATATTTAATCTTTAAACATATTAAAAATATCTTGATTGATTCTTTCAAATTTTAAATACTTTAACTTACTAAAGATTTATCTTATAGATTTAAAAAAAAAAACAATAAGAATTTGGTTCTTAAAACGAAATTTAGTCATGAATCTATCAAGAAACACATCAAATGTTTCTTTAAAAATAAATAAATAAATAAAAAATAAAAAATTGTCTTACTTTGCACTATATATGTATTTTCTTAATATCAAATTACTTCTTCCTTAAGACCTATTTGATTGTTAAAACTTGCTCTATATAAATATTAATTTTAATACAAATTTATTCAACTACGTTAAATTGGCTCAATTGAGTAGAGTTGACTTTGTTGGTTAGTTCAAGTCCACAAAATTAGACCTCTTAGATTTCAATCAATTAAGTAAATCCTTTTAGAAATATTATTATCTTTTCAATCTAGTTTTTTTCTTCATAACTTGTAAGATGGAATTTTTTTTTACTTCTATATTTATTTGATTTAGCTTTTTTTTTCCAATCATATTTATTTTCTTTTTTCTTTTTATATTTTTTTGAATTCTCATATATTGTCTTTAATTCCTAATTAGACTAACCAAAGAATTAAATGTATCCAAATCATTTATTTAAAATTTTATTTAACAATAATTTAGTTTTATTAAATGATTAAAATAAAAAATATATAATTTTATTATCTTCTATTTCAAATGACTTTAATTTGTTCCTCGATCCAACATAAGGAATTGGTTTTGAGTTTTTTTTAACTTTAAAACAAAATTTGAATAAATTAAATGTTAAATTTTAGATATAATCTGCTCTTTTTTAATCTTGTATTGATAAATTAATTAATTTAGGTTTTTTTTTTTTTTTTTTTTTTTTTTTTTTTCTATCAACACAATCACAAAAAAAATATTCATTTTTTCAAATTCTTTTGTCTTAAATGCTATTTATTTTCTAGGTCCTTAACTTAAATACAATAATTTAGCCAAACTTCCTTATGAAGTTGAAAAATTTTCTATAGCTTCTTTTTATTGATGCTAATTTATAAAATACAAATTTTAAATGTAACAAATGTTTTTATGTAGCTTTTGACTTTATACTCTGTCAATATATTTTTTTGGTTAATGACAATAAATTTAATCCTCTCACTACAATCAAGAGAGCATTATTTTCTTAGAGCTCTTTAAATCCAATTTTAATTTGTCTTTGTATCTTAACATTTATTCCTTCATCTTCAAAAATTTATAAATTACAAATAATAAAATTAATTATTGTAAAAAATGACCCCTCTAAAAACTTCAAAATTACATCCACAACAACTTTTTAATCCTACTACCAATTACTTTGTAAAATATAAAATTGACAATTATTTTGGTGGAAAAAGAATCACATTTACCATTCATCAAGAAAGAAGGTGTAAAAACTCCAAAATAGTTGAGAGAGAATATTATTTCAAATTGCATCTTATCTTTGTATCTTTATACTTATATCTTTTGGTTTCATGATCATGTAATGCAATAAATGTTTAGGTATTAATGTGTGGTGTCTAAAATTACAATTTTTAGTTAAATTATTTAAATTATTGCCAATGTTTTTGTCAATTTGAAATTCACATACTTATTTCAAATAAAAAATCTAATTTAAGTGTTTAATATATCTCATTTATCTAAATAATTTTACATTTTTATACATGAAAAATAAATTATACGGATAGAATATTGAAAATGAATAAACGACTGTAAAAATAGAAAGAATAAATAAACAAAAAATATATATAACAAGTGTTGCAAAACAGATTCTATTGTATTAGCTTTTATCAACTTAAATTGAATTAAGGTCTTTGCTTTTATGGTTGATTGAAGTCACATCTAGATTGTTTGTATCTTGTTCCATATTAAAAATATACTCCAGTCTCTTATTATTTTAATATCCATTCACTCTTTAAAATTTTGTGTAATTGCTAGTCTTGTATTGCTTGAATTATTTCTTACACCTTATGAAGAATAATCCTTATGCCAAAAGATAAAGATAAAGATAAAAAAAAAAAAAAAAAAAAACACACACACACACACACACACCCACACAGTTATTATTATTATTTTTTATTTTTAAATCGATGTTGTTGTTGACATTGATTTTTTTATATACACTTATTTAAACATGTTATTTAATTTTTATTTTTGAGCCTGGATAAATTCTCTAAAAATTTGAAATTGAACTTTCTACATTACTAATTTTTTACATGAGTTTCTATGGTTGTAAACTTTCTTTTCAATTATTCTAGCCATATTTTTTCATAGATTTTATATTAAATAATAAATATTCTATGCCATGAATAAAGATAAATAAATTGATGAGACTATAAAAAAAATTACCTTAAAAAATTAAATTTAAAATAAAAAATAGAAACCTGTATTTTTTATTTTTTATTTTTTATTTTATCATTATTGCTTATAAAGATAGTCTTTACTAGTGATGAACATATGTAGATTAACTTTTTTTTATATTTGAGACTATATCAAATAAGCCTACAGAAGTGTAGACATTGTAATAATCTTCTTTAATATGTTAACTTGATAGAATATTGTTGGAACTATTGCTTTGTTAGACTGCTTGCAGAATTACCAAGCTTTCTAATATTTTAGACTTAACTCCAATATATATAACTACATTTAGGTCCATACATAAATAGTGTAAAAAACATGAAATATATAAACACATACACACACAATTTTTTTAAATAGATTAGAGCTTGAAATATTGTAACTTTATAATTTACTGCATTAATTTTACACACATGTAAAAACAAAAAATTAATTTCTTGATCAATGATAACAATTCTATCTGTGCTAAATTTTGAAAGGCTTGTAATAAAATTAATTTAAAGATGTATAAAATAATGTCTACATGAAATAAGAAGATTATAGTCTACATTTTTGTTATATTTTGAACTGCGTTATTTTTGATAAATGTTACTATCACAACATGCTAATACGTCCTAATTTAGATACTGGACCTCACAAAATTATAATCAACAATTTACAATAAATAAGTGCCTTAATTGAATAAAATGATTAGTAATTTACACATTATCATTTACAGATATTATTTTCTTGGGAAGAATAATATTAAAACAAAGTGTGAAGAAATGTAAAATTATCAAATTTATTATATGATTGGATGTTTGCTAAGAATTGTTACTTCATGATCCATTTGAAGAAAAGATCAAAAAACATTTGGCAAATGTTTTTGTTAGAAAAAAAAATTTATGGGTGATTTCTTTGCTTCAACATTGTTGTAAATGGTAACTAGAAAGGTTTTTTTTTAAAAAAAAATTGAAAAAAATCTAAAAACATTATACTCGTAGAGTTATATATAAATATTTCCTAATACATGTGAGATGATAAAAACAACAGCACTAACGACACATCAAATTTTATTTTATTTTATTGATGAATGTTATTTTTGTTATTATTATGATTATTATTATTATTATTATTATTAACTCATAAATACAAGAATGTCAATCCTCCAATTCACTATATGACATGGTGTTTACCACAAATTCATAAGTACACATAGATTTGATTTGTTCATAGAGAATAAGCAAAATATCCCTCATTGCAAAATATATACACATTAAATCCATCCATTTACAGCAATAACAACAACAACAATAATGGAGGAGGGGGAGGGGTATTCAATTTTGTTGTACAAAATTCCAATTCAATTGCAACGGAATGCCGGCATCTACTTCTTCTTCTTCAATACCATTCAATATCATTCAATATCGATATTCAGCATACGGCGCAAGAGACTGAAAAAGACGGGGGGACGAGAACGTGGGAACAGAATTGGGAACACGACGAACGTTTTCCGGGAACGAACGAAAGAACAAACAAAGGGACAAACGAACGAACGAACAGACGAACGAACAGACGAACGAACAGACGAACTAACGAAGGGCAAGGAGGAGGAGTTCCACTGGGGCCTCCGTTCCATTTGGCCTTCCAATGCCGCGGTGAATGTTTTGGTCGTGGGAAACCGCGGAAAGCATATATGACCACGGAGATGGGGCGCCACTGGATTTTCATCGGTATCTGCCCGCTACCCGAATCTCTCCTGCCCGGCCAGATTGGGGTCGTCCCTGTCTCTCTCTGGCCCTGGGGGGGGTGGGGGGATCGTAGTGTGTATATGTTTTGTCATTTTTATTCGGGGTTTTGGGTATGTGTGTGTGTGTCTCTGAGTTTGTTCGTCCGAGTCAGATTTGGTGCACGTGGTTTCACTTTAGGGTTGGGGGATACCATCGCTACTACCTCCACCGCAGGGCGGAGCAAGATCCCCTTCGTCTCCGCTCCTTTCCCTTCCACGTTCACGCTCGCGCCCACACCCGCGCCCACGCCAATTCCTGTCGAACAGTATTTTTTGAAAGTTGTCAAGGTGCAATGTGAGTCGATGTAGTCAGGGCTGCAGCAGCGGTGGCGCTTTTCGGATCTTTTTATTTTTTTATTATTTATTATTTTTTATTACTTATTAATTTTCTTCGCTGAGGATCGGTTGCGAACACTTGGGACTGTTTCTGCGTTGTGCGCGATGTTGGAACCTGGAAAGAACAAGGTAGGGAATGAACTCGCAACCTGACGAGAGCATGTTACTTAGGATGGAGTTGGGAACAGGGTTTTGGTCAGAAAAATACAGCGTTGGGAATTACAATGCGGTGCTTGGTTGTCATGCCCTGTAGCATTCCACTGGCAATAGATTTCGACGAAGAGCTTCCCTGCGTCCGGTTGCCCTCTTTGGCATCTTGCAGCCCTTTCTGTGGCATAGCATCTCCATTCTTGAAATTGACCTAGGGTTGTAGTGCTGTGCAGCCAGCTGTATCAGAGTGTGTCCACGATTTAGCGGATGGCTACTCTTTCTCTCCCTGCTATTGGCCAGGTTCTTTCTGCTGAATGAGGTCTGGTGACCCATGGGAAGAGTCTGGAAATGCAAGCTCATTGAGCCTAGTATTAATTAAGGTTGTTCATGCATACATAGATGTGGATCTGGTTTTGAAAAGAAATGGACTTGGCGCAGGAAGCTGTTATTTATTTATTTATTTATTTATTGGTTAATCCTCTTGAAACTGGAGCCTACGCTCAACTGTCTGTTGTGTACCAGTGCTGAATTACTGCCAAATTGGAGGTTTTTGATCATTTAAGCGTGACGAGTATTGTGATGTGGTTACATTTTAGGTCAAAGGCTACCACCGAAATAGAGATAGACGCTGTAGTATTGGAGTTGTAGTAGGTTTATACTTCGTCAATTTTGTCCATCATATCTATACCCTGCAGTTTGTTATTATTCCTTGGAACTTCTCTCCGAACAAGGCAGGAAAGGGGCGTTACGAACAGTAGGACTTCCGAATCCGGCAATTAGGGCAAGTTGTCTATAGTCGGGTGCACTCTACGGAAGTGGAAGTAGTGATCCATGTTTAATTGTCTGATTTTCAAGTAAGGCCAATGTCGTCTAGCATAGTTCACGAGGAAGCTGTAGGTTGAAGAAATAGATTCATATATAGCTTCTTCCCTTCTGGGAAAGAAACATCTACACTGCTATGTATGAAGCGAAACATTCCCAACCTCCTAGTCTAACTACTCCTATTGTTTCCGTCTGCTATCTGATGCCGGAAGGTGTTGACTTCTGATGGAAGTATGGTTTGGTGCATTGTGCAGGAGACAGTAGGTAACGTGGCTATTGGTGTCCAAGTCTGGGTGGAAGATGCTGAATCTCGCTGGGTGAAAGGAGAGGTCATTGAGATTAATAACAACAAAGTTAAGGTCGGTACCAACAATGGAAGCGAGGTAAACACCTGCCTACAGCAGTCTCAAGTAGAATTGAAAGCAAGATCGGATGTCATATTCATTGTGCAGGGATGAACTACGCACTGATGTTGGGAGGGGTGAGTATGTTTAGTAGGGATGTTTTAGAATCCCCTATTACGGTTGCGGATGAGGATTTAGAGTGATTCAGGGCCCTGGAAACTTTTATAATTTTTCCGCTGGTCACCTATTGACCTAGTTGGTTCTTCATATTTTGAGGTTTACTACGGCACTGCTACCGAGATGCGCTGCTTTCCTACGACTTTTGGAGGTTTAGAAAGAGAATGACGCGTCAAGCTGTAGGTCTTTAAATGCTAGCTACCACTCTATCGAGTTTAGACATTTTTTCTGGCATGATTTCACAACTAGTTGTATTTATGCTTCGGTTAATCCTTACGGAAGTTGCTAAAGTTAACCTCCGATTCCATCCCAACTGTTTTTCATCATATCTGAGTACGGAATTGGTATCTCATCAAATAGGATCCAGTTATTTACCTACACATGATTTCCATCATGTACGATGTTTATTAATGATCTGAATAATTCACCCCTGTTCAAGTCTTGGTAGTTTCTCAAATTCATAACTCGTCGTCTAAATCGAATTCCTACTGAATTTTGTAGTGAGACTGTTAATATACACGATCGAGCAGACCTTTGGTTGGTGGTTTTTGAATAGAAAACTTCGCAGGTTTTCGCATTAATTCCTTAAGTTCAAGCTCAGCAGAGAACGAAGTACTTGACGGAATATCTGGGTGTTCGTTTTAATTTTAATTTTTAGTTTAGTTCATTTATTTGTTTAATTTTCTCCCTCCGAAGTTCCAAGAAAATGATCGCTCAAACTGGAACTCATGCAACAGAAGGCTGTCTCGTGTGTGTTATATAGCATTACAATCTTCATAGTGTTATACATTGACGTTACTGCTGTTGATGCAGGTCACATCAAACTTATCAAACGTTCTTCCCACGGAGCCAAATGTAGAACCTGGAGGGGTGGATGATATGACGAAGTTGACTTATTTTCATGAGTCAGCAGTATTGTACATTCTTGCGAAGAGATATGAGCTTGGTAAATTTTATGTGAGTTGTCAACCGACTTTGATGGACCTGAGTCAATCGTGGCACATTTAAAAACATATCATGCGAAAAAGAAATATTTATTCTCACGGTGCCTAATGCTACTTCCGGGTGATGAATTGCCAGACAAAGTCGGGAAACATTTTGATTTCGGTTAATCCTTTTGTGAACCTTCCGCATTTGTACAATAACCACACGATGGAGCAATATAGAGGGGTGTCGTCTGGAGAGCTTAGCCCTCATGTGTTTTCGGTGGCAGATGCATCATACAGGTGAACTTACCTTGCTTTCATAATGAATCAACAGCTTTCCATTTTTGTAGCATTGTGCATGCTTTTGTATCTCGCACTAGAAGCACATGTCTAGTTTTTGCCTTTTTATTCCTTTGTAGCCAGCATATTAACACTTTATATATACTCGAGAACGTTGTACCTAACAAAAGGGAAATGGCACTGCACTGCAGAGCGTTGGTTACTGAAGAAAGAAGCCAGTCCATACTGGTGAGTGGAGAAAGTGGAGCTGGAAAGTCGGAGACAACAAGGCTGCTTCTGCAATATTTGGTTTACATGGGTGATCGAGAGGATAGTGGTGGAAGAAATTTGGAGCATAAAGTTGTTGAGGTGGTTTTTTCTATACTATCCTTGTGTGCTGTATACTCTCTGTTTTTTAAACAAAATTTAAATTATTCTTTTTGATTTCTTATATATATATATATATATTTTGGGGGGGGGGTGTGTGTGTGTGTAATCGAGCATTTCAACACTAACAGCTTTGGGTTTATCTTGGTTTTCTTGCCCTTCTATGGTTATTCTATTTTAACGGTTTCCCTCATTCAGTCGCTTTTCAGTTGAATTAGAGTAAGCATACCAAAGAACTTCCTGGGACTAAGATAAGTAGCATAATAAATTCGTCGACAGATGCTGATTCTACGACTTCGTCAGTACATTTAAGCCACTTAAGCTGTTATGGTGGTTGCATTTTACTCTGTATTTGGGAGGTGTTGTTGAGTGCAGTTGTAACATTTATGCCACCCCTATGTAAGAACACTTCTTCATATCAAAAACATATCTGCCTTAATTATTTGTCAGCTATAATGAATAGTCATGCACGGCATGGATGCAGATATAAGTTAACCTGGGAAGTTATGAAAGCAAACCCATTACTATTCACGTCTAGTGAAGATCCTTTTGTTTGTGCTTGAAATGAGCTTGAGAAGGTGGAATCCTTATTTCAGCAGATTCAACTAAGGATAAATGAAAACATATTCTCTGAAGAGAAAAGGCGTAAAAGACCTTCAAACTTCTGGCAGAGAGGTGAAAAGATAGAGTCCCAAAAGGAATGTCCGAATGTACTACCATTTGTTATCAAGAAAGAAACCCAGTTATACAAAGTTGAGAACCTATCTGCTCCTTATTATAATATTGAACGAACTTACAGAGCGCTTTGACAACGTTCTCCCCTGGAAAGTCTGAAGCGTGCTCCAGGTTTCGATGGCGTACTAGGCAATCAATTCTGACATTATTATGTTGTATGTAGCTGGGATGAGGGAATGCTGGCTAGGTGGCTGATTAGTGATTTGATACTGTCATTTGTCTGATGCGCAGTCTATTTCACTTCTTGAAGCATTTGGTAACGCCAAGATAAAAGACAATGACAACTCAAGGTAAGTGCAGCTTTCAGTTTAAACTATGGGGATATTTCATACATTGTTGTTTGACGGTAATCATTGAAGGGGGAATTTTTCAAATTATGTGGATGTGCTGGGTAGCTATCTACTAACCCATGCTGTTGTGAACATCAGTCGATTCTGTAAGTATGTGAAGATACAATACGATAGGAACGGTCGAATATCAGGTGCTGCTGTGTGTACGTACTTGCTCGAGAGGTCGCGAGTTGTGCGGATTGCAGATTCGGAACGAAATTTCCATTGCTTTTACCAGTTGTGCGCGTCACTAGAGGTATACTTCACGAGTATTAATAAACTATGGTGGAATACAATATTGTTTGATTGTCCTTACGCTAGCTGGGTATAATTCACCCAAGCAAAGGCTCTTGGACTGGTTGGAAGATACAATGATATAATTTCTGAGACTTGCGATCGATAAATTACTAATGTGTCATGTTCTTATTGTATGAACTGAACAGTCATATGATTGCTTTGGTTTGTTGAAACAGGAACGTGAAAAATATAAGCTGGGGAATGCAAGAAGTTTTCATTGCTTGAATCAAAGTGAATGTTATGAGTTGGATGGTGTGAACGATTACCAAAAATATATTCAAACGCGTAGGTCCATGGATGTTCTGGGTGTTAACCCGGATGAGCAGGTACGATAATGACCAACTGCATCACTTCACTTTTTTTCTCCTAAATTCTGCAAGCACAGATAAATAATGACTCCTGAAGCCACTGTTGTCACCAGTATCTAGTAGGATTATTTAAGGCTTGAATATTGAGGACTGTATGGAATACGCATTACCTTTTATTTTTTTTGTATATTTCGCTTCGGCCAGTATTTTTCGGATCGTGAAATCAGGTTTAGGATTTACTTTTACATGTTTAGTTATAGTAAACTTCATGCTGACTAGTATTGTGTACTTGGAGATGCTCTGTTGCTGATTCTAATGTCTTGAGGTGTATCCATCATTGACAGGAAGCTGTTTTCAGAATACTTGCATCCGTGTTGCATCTGGGAAATATTGAATTCGATGCGGAACCAGATACAGAATCATTAAAATTTAAAGATGGAAAGTCCAGATATCACTTTGAAGTTGCTGCAGACCTGCTACGGTGAGCTTCATGTTGTACACATAAATGTGTTCACCCTACTTTTAAGCTAGTCTGGCAGGTCTATAGGTATGTAATTCTATTCAGAACTAGTAGAATGCTGTCAATCTGTAGGTTTGATTTGTTGTGTACAATTAGAGTGTTTATTACAAGTCCGTAACTACATTGGTTTTTGTTTTCACGTCTCATACTTGTCTGTTGATTTTTTGTAGATGTGAATCAAAGGGGCTGTTGGACTTGTTGGTTACTCAAAAACAGGATGACAACATCACATTGAATTTGAATGTGGAGCAAGCCACTTTGAGCCGCGATACTCTGGTGAAGACGATCTACTCTCGTTTGTTTGGCTGGTACAACTCATATTCCATGTCACTTTACCACTGTTTTAGAACTGTCGTGACAGATCCGGAATTTTGGCTCGCGTTACCCTTGGCCCATTTGTGTGAAAAGTTCTCTAAAACAAAAGTACTATATCTGACATTTTATCTTCGCTTCACTGTCTTCAGGTTGGTGGAAAAAGTTAACAGATGCATTGCCCAGGATCAAGATTCGTCATTTTTTGTTGGTGTGTTGGATAGTCCTGGTTTTGAAAGCTTCAACTACAACAGGTGGGTTAGTGATCACATCTGATTAATGGTGTTTTTGGACATCCGGGGGAGGAACGTGGTGCTAATGCCTAGTATCATCGGTTTTTGGATTTCAAGTGATCGCTTACACCTTTAACTGTTACAGTAGGGTTCTCAGGTGCTATTTGGTTGATGCAGTTTTGAGCAATTCTGCATGAATTGGGCGGAGGAGAAGCTTCAGCAGCAGTTTAACCAGGTATTTGATTTCCTCCTATTCAAGTTTTTATTTATTTTTATTTTATTTTTATTATTATTATTATTATTATTTTTGTTCCCTTTCCCTTTTCCTTCTCTCTCGCTCTCTCTCTTGGAGATTCGAGTTTTCATCTGAAGGAATCTTTCATGTGTATATCAGCTGCTTCATCATCTTGATCGCAAGTATGGATTCAAGAATGTGGGGGCAGTTATTGGTGTAATTGGATTTAGATTAAGGCTGCTTACAGTCTAGTGGTCATGATGCAGAATATTTTTAAGGAGTACATCCGAGATGCCAGCAAGCCGAGCCCTATTGAGTTCGTTGACAACCAAGATGTTCTGGACCTTATTGAAGTCTGTTCATTTCCTTCAAACATGAAATCAATAAATTATCTGTTGTAGTCGGTAGAGGCAGGTGCTGGAAGAATATGGTGTCTCGTAATAGCTGTTCTGTTTTTAGTCATATCTCTAAATTTCAGTGCTTGTAGAGAGGACTTGACTTACTGTTTAGGTTCAATTGTTTAAACTATTTAATTTTTCTTTCAGATCTTCGCTCTTTTTTCTTTTTTCGTTTTAGATGTTTTGCTGTATTGCCTAAACATCGCTTGTGCTCTGTGTCATTTTTTATTTATTTTTATTTTTGGTGTATGGTTCTTGCTAGGTGTCTAGACCTGTCGACTCATCTTTCACCCGTCATTGTGCAGAAGCCAACAGGTATTGTTGCTCATCTCGATGAAGCCTGGTAAGTTTTAGTTCTAAGACCATGTTTCATTTTGTCGCTTTGAGAGATGATTGCTTAGCTCAGAGGTTAAGTCGGTTGATTATAATTAGCGATTATCAGAAGCCTGAACAATTTTGTCTATAATTTTGCAGTATGTCTTTCAAGGCAACGAACGAGACTTTAACCACTAACCTTTTCCGGCAATATATCAAGCACAAGCAATTTAGCAAGCCGGAGCTTGCCAGCACTAATTTTACAATAAAACACTCTTTTGGTGATGTAAGCACTGACCTTCCAACTCTTTTACCGAGTTCACGAGGGTCGATTGACAAGCCCCGTTCGGCAGCTGATATTTTTGAAGGAGGGTGTTCCTCAGCAAGCAACTAAACCATAGTAATATTATTTGGCAGGTTACGTATGAAACTGAAAGGATCCTGATTGACAACAGGAGTAATCTTATTGAGCACCTATCTTTGTTACGATCATCTACATGCTCTTTTGTTTCTAGCTTCCTCCCCCGCTCTAGTGATGAAGGCTTTAGGTCCTCATGCGTAATTTCCTCCATTTCTACTGAAATCAAGGTTAGTCTGCAGGACTTGCGATTTTTTTTTTTTTTAATTATTATTATTATTATTATTATTATTATTATTATTATTATTATTATTATTATTATTATTATTATTATTATTATTATTATTATTATTATTATTATTATTGTGTGTGTGTATGTGTGTGTTTCTTTTTTCCTATACCTTGTTGCATTGCAAGGATTCAATGTTCTTGGTGGATTCTGAACATGCCATTTTCTTTTTCAAATTATGCACCAGCTTTTTCACGGGTTATTCCAGTACGAAATTCCAGTTGTCTATTTGTGCATTCCATTGTTCTTTGTACCGAGTGTCAAGCGTTTGTGCAGCAACAACTTCAATCTTTAATGGATTCGATGAACGGAACGGAATTTCACTACATCCGATGTGTGAAGCCTAACATTTTGAAAAAGCCTGGCTGCTTTGAGAACCAGGCTGTCAGAAGACAACTTCGGCGTGGGGTAAGTTCAGTTCCCTTCTACTCGGTTGCTTGTTTCTCGCTTTGGAATGGTTTGTGTAGAATAGGAGTATCTTTACGAAGTGCTGTCTTATTCATACTCAATGTGAAATAATTTTTACAGGGACTGTTGGATGCAATCAAATGTGGGCAACTGACCGAACTTGATAACAAGACACTTGAGATTTCTAGTGACGCAGCAACTAAGGATGGAAACCAAGACTTGATTGGCATGGAAATGGATGTGATTAAAATTCAGAAATATTGGCGGGGTACGATTTTCTAAACAAAGATGCAGATCGTTTCTTGTGGAGTTGGTACTTCCATGTGCTTATTCTTACAGAAGTACCTAAACTATTTTACATCCTCTGTTATCTTATCCAGGGACTCTTGCTCGTCAACAGTATCTTAAGCTACAAACAGATCACATGCAGAATCAATTGAGGAAACAGACAAAAGCTGCTACTATCATTCAGGTTTGGGGACTCACGAGTTCTTGCCTCTGTTTAGCATCCAGTTCGTGGAGTTTTCATATAATCTAGTTGCATGTGCTCGATTGTATCTGCAAATATATCACAGCAAATTTACTCGTCTAAATTTTTGGAGTGTGATATAACTTTATGTTTCTCAATACACACCTCAATCATCTTGACTAAGTCATGAATTGAAAGGACTAAGATTGGTCTACTACCCTTGTAAACAGGCTCGATGGCGAGGATACAAGTCGAGATCTCAGTATAACAAAGTGCGAAAGGGTGCGATCACATTTCAGTGTGCTTGGCGGGGCAGGGTTGCCAGGCGCGAACTGAGAAAGTTCAAATCGGTGAGGTCCTGACTAAAGTCGCAGTCAACAGACGACCGTGATGTGGCAATTAATTTCTAAGAACGGAAATAGCCACGTCTGTGTGAAGCTTAGAGTTATTTGCTACATGCCATGAGGAAGCTGTTGTCCTTGATGGTTCTTATGCTCGTATCTCATTGCTTGCCTTGTTTCTGACAAGATATTATCATAGCTCTCCTCTTTTCCGTTCTTACTGTAAACGATAATCTGCGAGAGCGCTCTCTTATTAAGTCAGATAGGAGGTGAACCAAACTTATCATATGCTTGAAGGAATAGGAACGTATGGCACTTGTTTTGATCCAGGTATCTGAGGAGGGGGGTGTTGCACCGTGATGCAGGTTAGTCCAGGGGCACTTAAATTGATCTTGGAGTATTGTCGGTTTCATCGAGTCCCTGGGCGGTCTGACAAGGAACGCAAAGTCTTCGATGAAAGGTTTGTGCGGCTAGACACTCGGAGATTGTGCGAACTAACATCCGCAGCAGATAGTCTAGACATGAAGCCGTTGGGTGACTTAACGAGTCGGGCCCTGGCACGCATGATTGAAGGGAAAACCCCTGAGCAAATACGAGAAATCTTTCACTTACCTGACGACTTGACGGAGGAGGAGAAGTTGGAACCTGTTAAAATGAGCACAGATGATCCACGAATTAGGTTATTAAATCGGCTCTATGCTCGAAAACGGAAAGAGCTCCAGGAGAAGAAGCTGCTGAAAAATAATACCACGGACTCGACGATCGAAAAGCAGGTTAAGGATGAGCGTTCTGTAGAGGAATTGGTTTCATTTATTGATGGTGAAAGTAAGAACAACAAAGTTGGGAAGCCCAAAAAGAAAAAAAATCGGCGTAAGAAGGGGCAGAGTGATGAAAGTGCGGCAGTCACATCCCGTCCCCAGACTGAAGTAGCCAACGAGGATGATGAAAAGCTTGAGAATGAAAAATTAGTGCGAGAAACAAGTAACCCACGAGTTAGGGGAACAAGTAGCACAATCCTTGAACACTATAACAGGCTGCTACGTGACCAGGACAAAGTGTTCGAGGAAGAAAATTTTGAGGACGACGGTATAGACCCAGCTTTGAAAGAGATTGTTGACAGAGAGGTTGAGGATTTTGCACGAAGATTGAACTCGGACTGGTTGAAACGGCCTCTGGAGGTCCTCTCGCTGGCTTCTCCCAGCCATGAGGGTGCTAAGGTTCTAAATTCTGATTTTGGTGATAAGAGTCTTAATAGCATTCATTTAGGGAACAGAAGTAATGGGAATTTTATATGCGATTATCCTGAAGATAATAGGATTCTTCAACAACAAGCGAAACGTGACTGACGTGTATCATTATGCAGGCTAGGTCTTTTTTTTCTTTTTTTTCTTTTTTTTCTTTTTTTTCTTTTTTTCAGAGAACGGAGCCTTGCGCCATTGCCAGTTCTGTAGTTAACAGCTGCACAGCTGCAGGCACTGGAGCACGAGGGGAAAAATGTCTAGGAAATTGTTCATTATTTGTGACTAAATTGGATGTGCCTTTTTTAACCCCGGAGGTGAGACTTCTTGGAAGGTGGCAGTGGTCTCTGAAAACTAAGTTTGATTAGTCACACGATCACCGAACTTCAGTATTTCTGTTGCTTTCCTACATGCAAGATCTTTGGTTTCTAGCTCGTCAAGATTTTGCTTTTTCTGCGATTCATTGCCTGCCTGCTTTCTTTTAGCTCAATACGCACATGATATTGCGGAAGATTCTGCCAGTTACGATCCAGAACAACATCCAGCAGATCGGTTCAGCCCTAAATCTAACGCATCCTCTAAAATTAGATACTACATAATATGTAGCATGCTAGCAGATTACGAGCACGAAAAGATTAAATTTTGCTCTTAACACATAATTCTTATGAAAATCATCATGGGAAAAATGTTTACCATTGAGTTATGTAATTATGATTTCTTTCCGAAAGATTAAATATCGGAGGGAATGTTTCGAGTGACGTCATCATCAACCACGTCCACTGTTGCTGCATCCTCTGAAATGTCCGAACAGCACGAAGCTGAGGAGATAGATGAGGTCATTACGGATTTTTCCGAGCTCCATTCTCCACAAGGTGAAGCCTAATTGCAGCAGAAGAATGTCGTGTTAGCGGCACCGACCAAGGAGCCATTCCAGCGAAAGTCCCTTTCAGAAACTGTTTTTAAACATGAACGACAAAATTATCAACTGCCTATTTGATGCCCTTCGCAACCAAGATGAATTCGGAATGAAAGGATCTGCTAGATTAAGCTAACGAAGCGAGAGCGAAGGCATTAGTAGTAACGTGGAAGAGTCCGGAAGTTGCCATGACGCGAAGATCACCGTCAGTCCACATGCCACTTACTCCATATCCACCACAAATGCGTTCTGTACGCCTCAAGGATTGGTGAGGGGCGAGCATCACAATCTGAAGAGTGTGTCACTGGCGGAGGAATCCTCGGAGACGACCGGTGACAAGATTCTACGGAATGTGGACCGGATAACTCACGCCAATCGCCAGCTCCTTATGGCCTTCCCGGAGATGACCCTTGCATTCAACATGCTTCGTGATCTTGAAAGCCGCCATCATTCAGTTGGGTACTAAGAAATTGAGCGTGGCTGTTGTCGGAAAGGTGAAAAAACCACCAGCAGTCAGCAATGCAACTGGAAGGCGTGTAAAACCGCTCTCAAAACGGTGATTTGCGACCTCGCGACTCCTCTCGTGCCCTACATGTTTGATGCGGCCCGTGTGGTAGTGACCTGCTACAAAAAGAAAGAAAACAAAGCAATACTTGAAGATCATAACATGGAGGTGTTTACATCACACGACGCGAGTCTTGGGACCCAAGGATTTCACGTCCTTTGTTTTCGGGTTAGAGCTCAAGTCGACCACGGCCAACCCCCACTTTGTCTCAGCAAATTCATTTTTCTGCAAGTTCTGAAGGAGGCAAAACTGACAAGAAAACTGTTAAACCGTGCAACCGAACCAGTTTGCCCGCCGAACCCACACAAAACTTCAACCAGGGACTGTTGGACTGGGGGCGGACACTACTGCTGGTGAAACACCAAGATCGTGGCTTTTCAAGGTCTTTTCATAATAGAACAGGCGTGTAGAGAAAAATCACTAGCAGGAGCAAATAATCATTGAGGAAAATGCTGTATTAGTTGCTTAAGGCAAGCATCCTGCGATTTTCTTACGTTTTTTACGACGAGCATCGCCCGTTTTTTTGTTGGAGGAATGAGAAATTGAAAAGAGAAGAAAGATACACTCCTCCTCAAAAAAATAAAAAATAAAAAATAAAAAACCTATAAGGTTAACTTTTGAAGTCAACACAATGGCAGTTGGCTGGTGTGTACTGTGAACCAAACTCTTTAGTGTTTCGCAGACTTGGTCAAAGGATCTTTGAAGTGGGAAGTGTGTTTTTTCACACGTTTTTCCAGAACCCACCTCCCACACCAGCGGAAGGAAAAAACTGCAACTAACGTTGAAAGGCAGGCTTCGGTGTATCCACACCTACTTCGACGTCGAGTCAACCTCGATGATCCTGCTAGAACTATTGTTCAAGCCCCATTTCGATAAATCATCCAGGATCTCAGTCAGTCCTCTCATCTTCCCATCTAGATCCTTCCTTGCACCGCCGATCGTGAGGCTGATCTGCTCGGATGGGGCCCGATCTAGACAATCTAGACGATTCCATCTGGCGTCGCCGGCTTGGAGCTTCGATCGGCGTCGAAGAGTGTTTCCGTGCCTGTCTAGATTGCCACCGCGCTTCATGCTCAACAGGACCCAACACCTGGCTTCACAACCCACACTCCACAATCTCTCTTTGAAGTTTTCAAAACGAAGTTGTCATTTTTGTTTTTGTCATGGCATCTGGTTGCTAGGATGAATGGTCACGAGAGTGTTGAAACCATTCTTCATGCGGTGATTCCACAAAAGTTCCATGTAGCAAGACAATGCTGCAAAAAACCACAACAACAACACCATGTTGCTGCAGTTGGTAAAAACCTTGAAGTTCAACATTCTGGATGTGTTGAGGACTGTGATTATCATTATATTATTTTTTTTTTGAAATGGGTAAGAATTGATCGAGTGGTGAAACTTCTCGTTATAAAAAATATATTTCCAATGGACTTTACCCCGAGGGATGTAGTTTCCTACATAATAATATGCATTATTGTCGTTCTGAACAAGAATTTAAAAACAAAAAAAGTCAAAAAAGTCAAAAAAACAAAAATGATATGGTCAAAGATATGTAAGTGAGATCGAACCATTTCGGAGGGATTGAAACTCAACATGCTTTAAGATGACAGTCTCATACAAAGATAATCAATTTTTGCTAAATTAGAGACTAAAAATTATATATAAAAGGTTAAAAAAATGATTTAGTTTCTAACTTCATCTGAACTCACCTTCAAAAGAAAAAAAAAAAGAAAAAAAAGAAAAAAAAATTGAAATTTTGTTAATCTTAAAATAAATACCTAATGAACTATTATAAATGTTGATTATTGAATTTTACATATTATCTGTTTAAATTCTAGATTTTATACGTATTATAAATATTACTAAGCCCTATATATTTTATTGTGGTTTTTAGAGTAAATTTTGAAGTCAGCTCCTTATTTACAGGCAGTATTATTACAATTCATTACACCACTTCTTACAATTGTTACTTTTTCTAGTTTAACACTACAAGCTTTTGTATTACAACCCTTAATTGTGTTATTATATATATATATATAATATCCTGTAGAAAAACTTGTTAAAATGTGTTATATTCACAATAAGTATAGTTTAATCTAATGTGAAAATTATACACAATAAATAAAATAATATTAATAATAATAAATACATGAGGTTTTCTGTTGTACATGGAATTTGAATATTTGAACAAAACTAATGAGATTGTGTTCCACAATTCGGATTGTAATTTTCAGATCATTAAACCATAAATTTGAATTGCACAATTTTGATTTTATTTTTCAGGTTTTGTGCACATATAAAATTGAAAAATGGAATCAAAATTGAGCGATTCAAATTAAGGTGCGTGGACAAATTGATGACAAGTTCAAAGGTGCAAAAATAAGTTTCGGTGGACAAGAGCACCAACACATGGACAATTATTTGCATGGAATAAGTCAAATATAAGTAAAAGTATCTTCAAAGACTCGGTAATATAATGTGTGTGTAGACTTTATAACAAACATGATATTTCCCACTAGTAATTTAACATTGTGTTCACTTTGAAATATCCACATCTGTTGTAAGAAGAAATTTAATTGGTTGTATGAATTCATTTGAGCTTACAAATATATTTGTAGCCTTAAATACCAACAAACATAACAGATTTACAATATCTAATCATGTGTATTGGGTAAGTTTATACCAACAAAAGGGATCTTTGTAGTGTAAGATAGATAGATATAAACACATTATTGTATTGAATTATAATATTTATTATGTGTTATGCAACATTTGTTTGTTGCATTCAATTGCATAGAGAGTGGTAAAAATTAAATCTGATGAAAACCATATATATATATATATATATATATATATATATATTGTTATTGGCATATCTATTTAAACAAAACAACAAATCAGAAATCAATTATATATATACAAAACATTGCCTAAATTATCTTCCAACAGATCTCAAAAGGCCATATAGTATCTTAACCATAACCATTGGCAAGATTAAAGATGAAATACTCACAAGTATAGTATAAGAATTTAATATATTTTTTATTACCAATTAAAAGAAAAACCATATCCTAATCATAGAAATGATGAATAATGTAAAGGCCAAGAAATTAGCTTGCAATTATATATTGGTATTTTGTAAGGTTATTTGGTATTATCAATAAGTATTTTTGGTGCCAAAACCACTAAACTTATTTCGTTAACCATTTCTATTTTGGGGTCAATAATGGGCTAAATATAGGGTTTCTAAATACACCCAAAGCATAGAGGCATGTTTTTTTTGTCAATTTAAGTTGTGTGAAGGCCATGTGGAGTGTAACAATATTAATTAGGGCTGTAGTGCTGACAATTTTCTTTACGTATTTCTTTAAAAAATCATTTTATTGTGGATGACAAAGTTGGTAACATTGAATATCATTTGGAATCAGATTATTGAAATTAGAAGTACTATAATATTATGTTATGTAAAAAAACTGGTTTCTTACTGCATAATACTTTGGACGGTGCTTTGGACGGTGCTGAATGCGTAAGCGTTCACTTTATTCTTGATTTATCTGCTTCAGATTAAAGCCACTACTACTAAACACATAGTACCGATTCCATGTGTTTAGTAGTAGTGGCTTTAATCTGAAGCAGATAAATCAAGAATAATAATAATAATAACGACATATCTCACTACCTTGCCATTGTAAACAATAAGTTATTAATCTTCTCTTGTAAAAAGAATAGTTTTGTGCAAAATTTAATAAATTATTCAAAGATAAATCATTGTGATATGCTTAAAATATGTTATCAGTTGATTAATTAATTAATGAAGGTGCACAGTAACTCATGGAGACGGGATTGGGGGGGGGTGATGCCAGCTCACCCCAATGGTGAGGGTCTAGGTCACTTGCTTGGTCGAGGATTGCCACGTGAGCGTGCTGGGGAAGTCATCCATCCTCGAGCTCGAAAGATGAACGAGTTATCACGTCTTCATCCTCGCAATTCACATCCATCCAGCACTCGTCTGCCCACCCCCCTTTAGAGTGGATGAAGCTGTTCTGTTCCCATTCATTTTATGAGAGAAAGGACTGAAATCCACTAAAGTCAATCTGAAGTGCCCCTCTCTCTCGCTATGTATGTATGTATGTATGTATGTACATATATATATTATAACAAGCTCATGTATCCTCATTAAGAAAAATGAGTAAATAATAACGAATGTGTATAGTAGTGACCAATGCTTTGTTGAGGTACAAACCAGTGGGGGGGGGGACAAACTGGGCCCTTATTTATCCACAACACCCATCCATCTGGCTATCAAAAACCCCCTTTGACACCTGGCCACATGTCTGTCTCTGCTCCACTTTTGTTCAGGATAGGAGTTGAAAAAAATATTAAAAAACCATTCCTATTTTTATTTTTTTTTATTACTATGAATATTTTGCTCGACTTCAATATAAGAATTATTTGGTTTAGGGCCACAAAAAAGCTACAAAGTGGGTTGTAAAATATGCACATGTAAATGCCATTAATATCATCATTGTTACCTAATGCCATTTATCATTTATTATAGTTTGCGATATACATGGAGGTGGTTTCTGTTCATTGATTTCGGAAGGAGGTTAACCAGAAATTCCACACAGTTGGAACACGGTATGTAGCAACCAGTTAATGTGGAATGAACACATGAAGTTAAGACCATATATTGTAGAGTGTGAGACCGTGGAAGATGAGGAAATTGGAACGAACCCGTTTTGGCTATTTTGAACAAGCAATCGGGGTGGTGGTGTACGAGGAACGAATGGAAGGGAATGAATGAATGAATGAATGCAGGCCCAGTGAAACGGAACGAACGCTGAAGCTTGGACTGAACCCAAGTGTTATTGATATATAGGAGTCTCCAATGCACCCCTGGAATCGTTTAACGACATTCATCCCCCGGTGATGCACACAGGAAACACGGTGGTGGGGAGCAGCAAGAGTGTGGGCGACGACACAGTGGGAACGGCGAGGCTAGTGTGAGGTTGGATTGGGTTGGGTTTGGGGGGAGCATGTTCGGTGGGACCCGCGCAGACCCAGTTTGAATGGCAGGAGGAGCAGGGGTCTGACCCAGTATGCGCTCGCCCAGTCCGGGCACGGGAGATTGCTATTCTGCCGCCCCCCGCAAACACGCCCCGCGCCCGCCACTTGAACACACTTGAACAACAACATGGAATTGAAAGGAAGGAACCAAGGAACTATTCTTCTTCTTCTATGGCATGTTGCAAGCAACCAAGCAAGCAAAGCCGGGTGAGGAGCGGCGCAATGGGATTGGATCCGAGCCCGATGGTGGGCTGGGCCCGGTCATCGTCGTGACTGTGGGCCGGGTGTCGCTCCATTTCCGCAGGATGTTACGTGATCGCGGGGTCTCCAAATTACGGGTTCCACCACCTTCGCCGTTCCCGCCCCAGACAACCTCCGCAAATTCTAGCCCCGCCCTCCTCGCTCGTCCATCTTGATTTCCTGCGCCCGCCCGCCTGCCCGCAATCGTCCTGCCTACGCCGCCGTCGTCGTTCGTTCGTCCGTCTTCCCCTCGCAGATAGCGTCCCGCTCGCAGCTCGGATCAGGGTCTTTATCGTTTCTTTATCGTCGAGAAGCGGGTAGAGGAGCGGGGTAGACTTGATTGAGCACTCACTCACTCTAACAACGCGCGTGAGAGTCAGAGGAAGTCTTTTTCAATTGTGATTTCGCGTTGGTTGTGTTGGTGCTGTCTCCTCCTCCTCCTCGTCATCTCCTCTTCAGACGCACAGTCGAAGCTACACCCCCCCCCCCAATTACTGTGGTTGGCTGGCACCTAGGATCACGCACGCACGCTCTCTACCGGGTCTTCATCGACACTTTCATTTCTCCCAGGCTAGGAGAGGTTTTGTTCTTTGCTGTGGAAGTGTGCTGCTGCCGCTGCTCAGGGGAGGGGCTGCTGCTGTGAGTAGCAAGATTCGTTAGATTACGAACGAGGACGACGACGAGGAACACGAGGGGACGCTTTCTTGGTGATTGGGACGGGGGTTCAGAGAGCTTCGAGGTTGTGGATCTGTGCAGGGGCGCCTCGCTGAGTGTTCTTATCGTTCATCAAATCTCGTGGAGGCCATGCGATTGTGGATGAAGTGATCGGAGACAGGAGTTGCGTATGGCGCCGTCGTCCGTCATGGTGAGTGTGGCGTCCGTGACGAGTTTGAGTAGGGATTCGTTTTTATGAGAAAGGAATGATGCGATTTGGTGGCAGGTCGTATTTTAGGGTTGAATGCGGGTGAGGTAGTTGGTCGACGGTGCGGGCGTGTACAGAGCGGATCGGGCGCCTCTTCTCTTGCTGTGCAGGAAATGAATGGTGTCGTTTTGGTTTTCAGTTGTTGTTCTGGTATGCGATGTGAGTCGTCGTTTCGTCGTTGAAGGGCTACTTGATGGGACATTTTTGGTTTCCATTCTTTTGCTTCCGATCTGTTTATGTAGAGGGAGCGCTTGTTGACAGTAGAATTTCATGTTTGTGAGCCGCCCTCACTCGCCATGCCCGTGACCTAATGGATGCAACCCTGGCTGGTCTGGGCCTGCGTTTGGTTCCTGAAGTAAGTCCTGAGGGTTCGTATGGACCAGGAATACCTTCACGGAGCATACACCTAGGATTCACAATGCGGGTTTTTCATTCGGGTCGAATCGTAGATGCAAACGATTATGTTTCGTAGTAGAAATTATGGATGGCAGAGCATGCCGACTTGCTCAGTTCCCTAGCAGTACGTTTAATTTATAGCTTCCGTGCGCCGTACCACCTCCACCTTGAAATTGGCGCAGGGGAATGCTAGGTTGAAGAATACAGCATGAATGGCTGCAACTGATGGTCTCTTTTTCACGTTTCCGGGAGCTTACCTACTTAGATGCACTGGAGGTGCCCTGGGTAAACCAAGGAATGGAAACGCATTTAGCATTCGTGTTTATTGACAAAGTCTACGTAAGCCAATTTAGCAGCATGGATCTCCTTTCCCCTTATTGCGGAGCTTTACATGCAACTGTTCCTCGAACACCATTCCTAGACTGAGCTCAAATTATTAGGGTACTGCTAACAACGCAGTTCATCACCAGGGAACCACCTTTTCTCCACTGTCGGAGTGTAGTCCGTACGCGACGAGGTTTCATTGAGCTGTGCGGAATGTCAATCACCGTTTTTGAATACTTGGAATGTACAAGTTTATCAGTAAGCGAATATAGATCATTTATGTACGTGTCCAGTGTATCCAAAGTTTGAGGTGTAATTATTATTATTATTATTATTATTATTATTATTTTTATTTTTTTGTGCTGCTTTTTGTGCAGGCGACAGCAGGGAATGTAACGGTTGGGGCCCAAGTCTGGGTGGAGGACCCAGAGTTAGCTTGGTTAGAAGGAGAAGTAATAGATATTACTGGGAAAACAGCTAAAGTCCGCACCACCAAGGGAAATGAGGTAAATGCCTGCAGTCTGCCAATAGTATGGGGCTAGTGACCACGCATTCGAGAGATGATGAGAGCTTAAATCACATGGAGAATTTGAAATATTATAATGTTGGTGTCATGGAAAATCCTACTAAGTTTAATAGATGATCAAGGTAGGAGGTGTGTTCTGAAGTTGGACGTGCTTCTTAACTGGTGGTTTTGCTACCAGCTGTGATTCCATCAATCGGTTTAGTTGATATATAAGTTTTTTGAAGCCCATTTGCAATCTCTGGCGACATTATCCTACGCACTAGATTTACACCTCTCTCCGTATTTTAAGACGGTTCTTTTAGGGCTGAACCCTTGCGCAGGGTTTTCATCGTTTCATCACTTGAATAGAGTTTAATTTTTTGTTCATTAAAATATCTTAAATTTTAAACATAGCGCTTGGGCCCAATTGAACCTGCCATACGCACTCGCATGGGTTTCATATTTTAGATCCTTCATACATTCGAGAAACCGAGCAGTTTTAGGTCGGTTGGGGTGTGTCGAAACATGACAATTTTTTTCACATGTTTCTTTTGTCTCATCTTTCCATCTAGGAAGTCAGAGGCTACACTTACGGGCCTCTCCAGGTTTAAATAGCCAAAAGTGGTCCATTGTGTGATACCCTTGCCATCAGCAGAATACACGTTCCAAGGGATACTTAATGGGTTTGACGACGATAACGAGACTGTCCCTGGACGTTGCATGTTCGAGCTTTGCTACAACGAATAGTTACTGCGGAGTCTGAATGGTTTTCTCCAGCAGATGTATTGAGATGTTCCATGCGTCAACATGTTTCTCGTGGGATATGAATTGAATCCTTTATATGAAGATTCTTATATTCTTCCAGGTTTCATGACTTACATGAATGGTTCTGTTGTAGGTTACAACAAGCTTATCTAATGTTCATGCGAAGGATCCAGATGCTCAGCCTGGTGGTGTGGATGATATGACGAAGTTGGCTTATTTGCATGAGCCAGGAGTACTTTATAATCTTGCTAGTAGATATGAACTGGATGAGATTTATGTGAGTGTTTCAACTGACTCTGAACTGAATGTGTAAGCGCTTATTACGTTACATTACGTTGCTTGTTATCCTATTTAACCTTGAGAAGGTTTCCGAATCTGATTTCAAAGAATTTTTTCCGGCGATGGGTGGCAGACGTACACGGGGAATATCCTGATTGCGATTAATCCTTTTGCGAAGCTACCTCACTTGTACAATAGTCACATGATGGAGCAATATAGAGGGGCACCACTTGGAGAGTTAAGTCCTCATGTCTTCGCAGTGGCAGATGCGTCATACAGGTATATCTACCCCACCTTTACGGCCTAGTCTATCTAGATACATGTGGCGCCGTGCATGAAAAATTATGTGCCGATTCTCTGGTTTGTGACTTCTGTACATCTTATTAATTCCAGCATTGCAGCCAGTATCGGTAATATGCTATCTGGTATCAGAGTTGGTACATGTGGCCTACGTTTGACCCTTACAGTAGAGTGTCGCAGTGCTATGAATGACTTGCCTTTTACTGAACTCATGGAGGTAGCATTAACATAAAGAAAATGTGCCGTGTTTTTAGAGCCATGGTCACAGAGAAGAAGAGTCAATCTATATTGGTGAGTGGAGAGAGTGGAGCTGGAAAGACAGAGACAACAAAGTTAATTATGCAGTATTTGGCTTACATGGGTGGTCGAGCAAACACTGATGGGCGAACCGTAGAGCAGCAAGTTTTAGAGGTGAATCTCATTTTCTGCCTCTCCCGGATATGCGTCTTCCTGAGTATCGCATTAGTTCAAACAAGGACCATAATTGACATAGTAGCTATTCGTGGCAGTTAAGTTCTTCCCTCTCAAACACGTGCTCTCCCTATACAGTCGAAAATTAAAATAATAAAAATGTAATAAATTGCATGGATGCAGATGTAAGTTAAATGGAAGATTTAAGTAATGAAAGAAAAAGCCATTATTGGTTACATCTAGTGAAGATCCTTTAAATTGTGCTTAAAATGAGCTTGAGAAGGTTGAACCTTATCTCAGCAGATTCAAGAAAGGATAGATGAACGAAAATCCATTCAAGAAGAAATGCATAAAAATACATCAAACGTCTCGCTGACAGGTGAAAGGATCAGGTCCCCGCAGAAATGCCCAAAGGAGTCACCATTTGTTATCGAGAAAGTACACCAGTTATACACAGTTGAGGGCCTATCTGCACCTTACAATAATTTATATAAAGAATATAAGAATCACGGTAGTTCTGTCTACTTAAGCGATATGGAACAGTGGGTTATTGGTCATAAGACCCAGAGAGAACTATATGATATGTAGTTGGAATACCCAGCGAGGGGACTGGTAGTTCACTGCTCACTCAATGCTGTTTTGTTTGATTGATGTGTAGTCTAATCCACTTCTTGAAGCTTTTGGAAATGCGAAGACGGTTCGCAATGACAACTCAAGGTATGTGGATGTCTTAAGCATATGACTTGTGGCTGTACTTGAGCAGGGTTCTATAATATCATTTCATGTCAGTCATTGACATGTCTCTGTGGATTGTCTGGATATGTATAATCTAGTTGGTGCACTAATCTTTATTGTTGTGTGGACATCAGTCGATTCGGTAAATTCGTGGAGATTCAATTCGATAGAAGTGGTCGGATATCTGGTGCAGCTGTGCGTACATACCTTCTGGAAAGATCTCGAGTTGTCCAAATTGCGGATCCTGAGCGAAATTACCACTGCTTCTACCAGTTGTGTGCATCTCCTGAGGTATAATTTTTTCCTCTAGATTGATATTGACGAGAAATTGTCTGTGACGTTAGTAGTGGATATCATGCCAGCATAATGTAGTATCCGCTCTCCTTTGTGTAATTTATCTTATGTTATTCTTTTAACACATACTCAGTTGTAGAGACATCTTCTATCAAACATGATTTTTGCGACTGATGTTCGTAAGGCGATGTAGTTCTTAGTTGCTGCAATACTGGACAGGATAACTGAGCCATTTTGCTTTATTTTATGAAGGACGAAATAATCTGATCTGTTTGTGAATGGTGATTTTGGATTTCATCATAGGACTGTGAAAGATATAAGCTGGGGGACGCGAGAAGTTTCCATTATTTGAACCAAAGTGACTGTTTTGAGCTGAATGGTACCACCAATGGTCGGGAATATGTCAAAACACGCAGGGCTATGGACGTCGTGGGTATCAACCCTGAGGAGCAGGTATGATGGTCTCCTAGTACTACATTCTACTAAGCAGTTCTTGGAAGTGTAGCAGAATGTTGTATTCTACCCGAGTTTCTTTAGATTATGGATTATGATTCGGTAATTTTCTATCTTTCGTGCCGATTCTGACATTCATGACGTTTTATCATCCTACTGACATGAGTTTTCTTTTATATTGGATTAACAGGAAGCGATATTCCGAGTGGTTGCGTCAGTGCTGCACCTGGGAAATATTGAATTTGTCGCTGGATCAGATTCTGATTCATCAAAGCTTAAAGACGATCAGTCCAAGTTCCATCTAGAGGCTGCTGCAGAGCTTCTTCAGTGAGTTTCATGTTCCAATCTTTTCTTCTCCATTAGTAGCCATCTGAGGCTTTCTCAAAGTCATAATGCAATTTGCATCTCTTGTGTTTGTGATGAGACCTCTTAATTCCAGGTTTCTTGTGACACCATGTCTTTTTTATTACGACTTAGCTTGATCTTGTCACTAAGTTCCGAGTCTTGGTTTAATTGTTTCTGATAGATGTGAATCGAAGGGGCTGTTGGACTCTTTGTGCACTCGAGTTCTCGTTACACGTGATGGCAACATCACAATGACTTTAAATCAGGATCAGGCCACCACCAACCGTGATACTTTGGCGAAGACGATCTACTCTCGTCTGTTTGACTGGTACAACTTTGATTAATCATTTTTTAAACAACTTGGATTTACTCTTTGATAGTCTTTGATTTCCAGATCAATCCTTAGCTTGTAACACTGTGAGGGAACTCTGATGGTGAATACTTAACAGTCCCCTTATCACTTTGTACAAGGCTGGTTGACAAGGTAAACAGATCCATCGGTCAAGATCCAGATTCACCATACTTGGTTGGAGTGTTAGATATCTACGGCTTTGAAAGCTTCAAGTTCAACAGGTAGATTCCAGCCTTATTTTGTTGATATCTTCGATAGCTTCCGGTATGTTTCTCGTTTAGTCAATCATGATCTAATAGCTGAGGCTAAGAGCTTCTACAGCCAGTGTGCAAATTCATCTACTAAAAAATTTCTACAGATTGTTCACTATATCTTCGAACCTTTATATCTCCTCCATCTTCTGCATCTGACATACTTAATTGAATGTAATAGTTTTGAGCAGTTCTGCATTAATCTGGCTAATGAGAAGCTTCAGCAGCATTTCAATCAGGTTCTGATTATACAATTTAATGTGTATCCTTGGGTTTAATACTTCTGTGTACAATTTTGTCTCTGAAGCACGTTTCTGCTGCATTATTGACTTCTTTTCCTGGTTGCTCATCATTCTGAAAGGTTGTTTTTAATTTTAATCAGTTCATTAGAATATTAATTTAAAACAGTGGTTTGCTTACAAAATTAATTGGTCATCTTTCAGCACGTCTTCAAGATGGAGCAAGAAGAGTACACCAAGGAGGCCATTAACTGGAGCTACATTGAGTTTGTTGACAACCAAGATGTTCTGGATCTCATTGAGAAGGTTTCTCTAGGCATATCCGTTACTAAATGAAACAACTAATTTGTTTAACCACTTCTTTTAATTCTTCGAATATATTTTATGTTTGAAATAATATGGAACTATATGTATATGAAGACCTCCTTATCTTTCTTCCATGTCAATTTGTGACACAGAAGCCTTCTGGCATCATTGCTCTTCTTGATGAAGCCTGGTATGCATCTCATTGCCTTACTTTTCATTACTTTTGTCTAACTGTTTGTTGAGTGTTAAGTGTTCATCGAAGAATGCCAGAGTTAACCAGGGATTTCAGGATTTTAAGTCGGAATTTTACTTTTTCAGCATGTTTCCCAAGTCAACAAATGAGACTTTCGCAACGAAGCTGTTTCAGCAGTATAGAAATCACAAGCGGTTGTCCAAGCCTAAACTATCTCGGACTGACTTCACAATCAATCACTACGCCGGAGATGTAAACGCCTACTCATGCGCTATTCCGTTACAATTTCCTTGCTAACGTAGTTTCCTGCTTGGTGCAAGTGCCTTTCAAATTGTTGAAGCTCAACTGATCAAGTGTGATACCAACTGTCTTCTTACTACTTAGCGGTCTTCTCCGTAAGGCAATATGCTGCTGGGCTCTGAAATGTTGTCTGTTTTGTTTTCCCAGGTTACGTATCAGACTGACTTGTTCCTGGATAAGAACAAAGATTATGTCGTTGCCGAACATCAGTCATTGTTGGGTTCTTCTAGATGCCCCTTCGTTGCAAGCCTCTTCCCCAGCTCTCCCGAACAAGGCTCTAAATCCTCGTACAAGTTTACTTCAATCGGCGCTCGTTTCAAGGTTAGAATTGTCGAAGAGAATCCGTTGGTTTGGATGCTTAGTAATTTCTTGTATTGTGATATGGTGCTTACTTCAACCTGTGGTTAATGGAAATGCGGATATATTTCTAAAAAATCCTAATTTTTACAGTAATTTATTGAAACGAAGGTTCACTAGTATTATACTTTTGCCGCTTCACGTGTGACCTGTATACGTAGCTGCTAGCACCTCTGGCTAAAATGTACTAATTATAAATTAATTGTGCAGCAACAATTGGGAGCTTTAATGGAAACCTTGAATACGACGGAACCTCACTATATTCGATGTGTGAAACCTAACATGGTGCACAAGCCTGGTCGATTTGAAAATCAGAATGTCATCCAGCAGCTTCGATGTGGAGTACGTGCGCTCACCTTTCTAGTAGATTTCCTGGTTTGGCTTTTGGGTTAATTTTATGCAGAGTTTGTTTTATATGTAATGCGCATTTAATGATGTCGTTATATGGGGGTGGGATTGGCTTAAACAGGGAGTGTTGGAGGCTATTCGAATTAGTTGTGCGGGATATCCAACACGCCGGACATTTTATGAGTTTCTTGATCGTTTCGGGATGCTGGCACCGGAGGTCCTCGAGGGCAAGTACGTACCTTCGTCACCTCACCCATCTCACTACCATCAGTAGTTGTATCACATTTCTAGTGTGTCAACATGCATCATACACGGTGTTTGATTCCCGGCAATTGTAATGTGTGTACTCGAAAGCTTTTAGACATTGAAGGTCTTTATGTGAGCGTGGCATACGAAGGACGCATTGAATTTCATGCCATCTATATCTGGGGCTGAATTGGGAACATCGAAGGATAATGTGTTCTGATGCAATTTTACTTGATTGTGCTTAGTTACGACGAGAAGGCGGCAACCGAACAGCTTTTGAGGAAAATGGATCTGCAGAACTATCAGGTAACCTTTCATTCACTGTTAATGGTGTGAGAACTTTAAGTTGTGAGCTTCACAAGGATGATGTTTGGCTACAAAGTCTTCAAGGTATCTTTTAACTGATTTCGCTGTGTGTATGAACTCGTTTGGTTTCAGTTGGGCCAAACCAAGGTGTTCTTGCGATCTGGGCAAATGGCTGAACTTGATGGTAAGAGAGCTGAGATGTTGAGTAACGCAGCGAAGACGATTCAAAGACAAGTCCGAACCTGGCTGGCGAGAAGACATTTGATTGCCATGCGAAGGGCTGCAATTACAATCCAGAGATATTGGCGAGGTACGTATCCAAGCGCGAGGTGCAGTAGAATTTGTGTACTTTGAAATTTGTTCGGATCTTTTTTTATCATTTAAAAAGAAGTAGCTTTCTGAGTATTTTATGACTTTTGTGCTTCAATGCAGGTTGCCTTGCTCGCAAGCGGTATGAGAGATTGCGTCAGGAAGCCGCTGCAATAATGATTCAAAAGAACGTTCGGATGTGGCTTGCTCGAAAGAAGTTCCTTCGAATCAAGGAGGCTGTTATCCGGGCACAATCTGGATTCCGAGGAATGAAATCTCGCAAGGATGCACGATTTATAAGACAAACGAAAGCTGCTACTCTTATTCAGGTAAAATGATTCTCTGCTTGTAGTGTATCGCATTCTGTGGCTTAGAGAATACTGGATTGAATGGTGTAACTAGAACTGCTAGGCATTTTGACTCTATCACCTAATGCTTTTAATCTTGGATCGAAAATGCTTTGACTGATCTCTTTCTACCTTGCATAGGCTCATTGGCGTGGATACAAAGCAAGATCCGAATATAAAAAGTGTCGCAAAAGTGCTATCACAATTCAATGTGCTTGGAGGGGGAGGGTTGCCAGAAATGAGCTCAAGAAGCTTAAAGCTGTAAGTATCTTAGTGCATTGGCCGTGGTTTCTTATCGTGCATTAAGCTGTGCTATGGAAAAACCTGTTGGTTCGTTTATGTCGGTGCGGTAACCTGTTCTGTTTGAAGTCAACTGTATTGGTGTACTTGTTGCTTTTGTTGAAGCGTTCGGGTACTGTGTTCTTTCGTTCATTTGCTGCTCTTTTGTTGACTCCTTAACAGCTTAAACACTATTTGGAATCGATCCCTTTAATGTCTATCATGATCTCTTTTAAACAATTGCAGCAAGCTAATCGAATCATTTTTTTACTTGTTTTGTGACTTTCGTAGGCCGCAAAAGAAACCGGAGCTCTACAAGAAGCAAAAACGAAGTTGGAGAAGAGATGTGAAGAGCTTACGTGGCGCCTGCAGCTCGAGAAGCGCATGCGGGTATGATCATCTACACTTTTGAGTAAATTTCTGCATATTTGTGCCAATGTCAATGTGGTTTTTTGCTGTTAAACTACTTAAACTAAGTTTTCTATTTGGACACGTTTTTACTTTTGTTGTGCTATTTAATTTGTTTCGTCCAATTTTAAACTTAATTTAAAATTTCGATTCACGCATTTTTGTTCGTGTCGCAACATGTTTTTGACTTAAGGGCTGAAGTACTCGGTGATCGTTAAGTTTATACGTTCTAATCAATCCGCAAAGCTCTTCGTAATTTGTTTTTATGATTGTTATGCAGACGGACATGGAAGAAGCCAAAAACCAGGAAATTGCGAAGTTACGAGAGAAATTCGAAGAGGAACAAAAGCAAGCGCAGGAAGCTAAAACTCATCTGACTAAGGAGCTTGAAGTCAATAAGTTAGCTCTTGGTCAAGCCGCTCAAGTCATAAAGGAAGTGCCACCTGTAGAAGTCTTCGATGCTAAAGTGGAGAAACTAACCAAAGAAAACGAAGAATTGCAGGTTTGCGTGTTATTTCTTTCATCGTTATCTTTGTGTTGTTAGACTAGTTCATTTGCATCATGGTCCCCATGGGTACAAAGTTCTGATCTTTGCGGATTTATACAAGCAGAGCCCTAATTTGCTATTTGTGCAGGCTCTCTTGGCGGATCTGAAGAAAAAAGCAGCCGAGGCTGAAGAGCAGTTTGCTCAAGCTAAAAAAGAAAGCGATGAGAGACTCAAGAGAGCAGAGCAAGCCGAGGCCAAGATCACCGAAACACAGGAAGCGCTACAGAGGTATCTCCTACCCTGGGATTGTTGGTTTTGGCTTCATACCACCATAGGGCCCAAGATTATCTTATTTTCATATTTCTCCGGGTACGGTTTTAGATTATGATATGGCTGCTCTTCAACTTTTATGAGATTTTACCTTAGTGTGTGTAGACAACTTATATTTATGCCTGTTATGGTTCAGTTTGCAAGAGAAGCTTTCGAACATGGAGTCCGAGAATCAAGTCCTTCGCCAACAAACGCTCGTATTGTCACCGACCAAGGGTTTGTCGAATCGATTCAAAAGCACCGTGTTCCAGGTAAGATTTTTTGATAGAAAGATATTTTTATTTTCCAATGTGGACCTTTGATTTTCATAATTTAATTTATTTTGAGTGTTTGCATACCCAACATCTTCGACACTCTTTCAGTTTTTCCATTATTAATGTGTTAAACTAAGTGGCATGATGTTCAATCACTATTATATTGATGTTTTATCTGTTTCTACTAAATTTTCAGAGGACTCCAGACAACGGTTATCTTGCCAATAACGAACACAGAGAGGCTCGCTCAGTACCGGTGAGTAGTTGTTATTCGACAGATTGTTTATTCATGCTGCGTAGACGCTTTTGAATACGCTTTGGGAATTTCTTTAAATTTTTTATTGCATGGCTCCCTGACATGTAAGCCTGCATATTTTTTCCTTCACCTTTGAACTGATTGTTACCTCTTCGTGAGGCGAAGAATTAGATGAATATTATTGATAAGTTTAGGAGTAGGCGATTGATTGAAGGCAATTCTGTGTTGCAGGAATCGCCAAATACAGCTCAAATTGAGAGAGAGCACAGTGAGGCTGAGCAGAGGCGTCAAAAGTTGTTGATCGACAGACAGCAGGTAGGATTTATCTGGTTACTCGTTTGCAGGTATAGATATGATGAAGTATGACGTCAAATGTAGGCTCTTATGGATGCTAACAACAGTGGAACTATGTCTTGAATGTGTTTTAGTTCCATTTGGTTTTCTGTATTGAGTTTATTTTGTGCACAACAGAGTACCAGCATTTGGGTTTTTAACAGTACTAATAAAACATAAAACTAATTCAGTACTGACCCCATTTTAATCTTTTTCTTTCAGGAGAATCAAGACTCTTTGCTGCAATGTGTCATGCAAGATGTCGGCTTTAACAATGACCGACCTATTGCTGCTTGCATTCTGTACAAGTCCTTGCTCCAATGGCGGTCCTTTGAGGCTGAGAGGACTAATGTGTTTGACCGAATCATCCAAACAATCGGAACTGCTATTGAAGTGAGTTAACTTTCCAGAATGAAGATTTATCCAAAATTCTTAGCACCTTGAGCAGTTCATTGGTTGACGCATTGTACTCATCTTGACATTAGATCATGCCCTGTTCTCACCATTTGCTGGCATTTTCTACATTTGCTGTTCCTCTTTTTTTTGGTTTGAAGCTGTTAATGTGCCTTCAATGAATTTCTCTAATTATACAACAAATTATACCTGGCCCTTACATTGATGTGAGCTAGTTTATGGACATTGAGCAGTAGGTGGTAACAAAAATGAATATTGATCTCGTGCAGAGCCAAGACAACAACGATGTTCTCGCCTATTGGCTATCCAACACCTCTACTCTGCTATTTCTATTGCAAAGAACCCTTAAAGCCAGCGGAGCTGCTGGAGGTGCTCCTCAAAGACGGCGCTCCAATTCTGTGACTTTGTTTGGCAGAATGACTCAAGTAAGTGATTACATTTTGTGCGGCCGACCCACTCAAATTCATTTCTGTATTGAAGAGTGTGTTCTGCAATTAAGATTAAATTCCGGAGACTATTCTACATATACTTTGTTGTCGGTATCACGAGATTCTGACCAATATTTGGGCTATCAGGGTTTCCGTCAGTCTCCTCAACCAGGTGCTGTCACATTTGGAAATGGAGGTATCATGGGCGGGTTAGAAATGGCGCGGCAAGTAGAAGCCAAATATCCTGCTCTGCTTTTCAAGCAGCAACTCACTGCATATGTGGAGAAAATTTATGGCATGGTCCGTGACAATCTGAAGAAAGAGATTTCACCTCTGCTTGGGCTCTGTATCCAGGTATGATCCACTTTCTCATGTAGACATTCTTTGTTTCTGAAATGTCTCAATAATTTGGCGTAGACCATTCATTGTTGTAATTTGGAACCCTAACTTAGAATGAGCTAAACAAATTCAATTTTTATCTGCTTTCCGTTTTTCTTAGTTGGACGATTGGACGTGATACTGGTGGAATTTGTTTAAAATATCTGGCAGGCACCAAGGACCTCAAGGGCAAGTCTCGGGAAGGTTTCAAGGTCACCAAGCTCTAATGTCAGTGCACAGCAGACACTCAGCAGCCACTGGCACAGTATTATCTCCAGCCTCAGTTCGTTGCTGAGCACTATGCGTGCCAATCATGTGAGCCTCCTAATTTGCAACTATTTTCTGTTGAGTTTCTTGTTTTATAACATGATACGGAGCTCAATTCATATTGAAGCTGAACAAAGTGAAATTCATCAAGTCTATCCTGCTCTAAATTCGCGAATCTTGTTTTCAGGTTCCGCCCTTCCTTGTTCGCAAGCTCTTCACTCAGATCTTTTCGTTCATCAATGTTCAGCTGTTCAACAGGTCAGACCTTTCCATGAGTTTTGATGATATGTCAAATTGTTCTGGATTCAATCTCTTATGCCAACCGTATTTTTTCTAATTGTTGGCGTGAACTTTTGGATACCGTATTCATCACATCTTGAATACTTGTGTGTTCTAGTTCCCGATCTTCGTTTACATGGCATTGTTTGGCTTTATTACTGAGTTTGTGAATTTGTGGATCCAATGCAGTTTGCTGCTGAGACGTGAGTGTTGCTCATTTAGCAACGGAGAGTATGTGAAAGCTGGACTTGCAGAACTAGAGCACTGGATTTATGAAGCTGGGGAGGAGGTATATCCTCATTACTTCGAACTCTAGCTTAGAATTTGTTTTTACCAGTTCACGGTTGACTCTAATGGATGAAAAGATGTTGCTGTTGGACTTTCGTTTGTTGTCTCTGCAGAATCTTTCGCTTATGAAACTTGTCCTGTGTGCAGTATGCTGGAGCGTCATGGGATGAGCTCAAGTATATCCGACAAGCAGTTGGATTTTTGGTAAGCACTTTCAATCTGTTACTTAAGCTTTTAATTAATCTGAAAAAGTGTAATTATTGAATTTCTTCTTCATTGCCCACATTGGTGACTTCATTTCGAAGTTCTTATAAAATCGCGTGTGTTTCCTACCTTTTCCTGCTTTTCCTGAGTTTAATCATCTGTAATAGCCTAAAATGAAATGTTAACGATTGAAAATGTGTCACTGCAGGTCATTCATCAAAAGCCAAAGAAGTCGCTTGATGAGATCACTCATGATCTCTGTCCGGTAAGTATATCTCAGCAGTAGAACACGTAGTGTAAAGCTATCAAACTCATGTTGAGCGCTTTTTGTGATCAATGATTCAATTTATCTATTACAGTACAGCGTTGTTTCTTACTAAAGCCATTATTTGTTTCTTCAGGTGTTGAGTGTCCAGCAGCTATATCGTATTAGTACTATGTACTGGGATGACAAGTACGGCACCCACAGCGTCTCACCAGAGGTAAATTGTTTTTGTTTTTCATGCTGGATTATCGCACCTTATCTAAGCTTGAGCAATGACATTAATATTATTTGATTGTATACTCACCGTTTTGGTTCACTTTTGTATCTACACAGGTGATTGCTAACATGAGAGTTCTAATGACTGAGGATTCAAACAGTGCTGTCAGCAACTCCTTCCTATTAGATGACGACTCAAGGTATGACCAAGAGCTCTACTGTATAGTCTATTTTGAGTCTTTTAAGTTACAATATGAAAGAATAATTACCGTTTTCTTGGAATTCCACGAATGCTACCTTCGCATTCTGAGTTCAACTTTTCTCTCTAATGTTGAGTACTAAAATCAACTTTGGTTTGTCGCAGTATTCCATTCTCTGTAGACGATATTTCTAAGTCAATGCCCGAGGTTGACATGGCTGAAGTTGAACCACCACCTTTGTTGAAGGATAACCCTGCCTTTCACTTTCTAATGCCACAACCAGATTCTTAGTTTACTTGTATCTTCAGTAGACTCAAAATTACTGATTAAAGATTGTAGTTAGAAATAGTTTAGAGCATATGTTGCATGGACTGTGACTGTCCACCATCTGTAATTTTCATCCTGATAGCATTTTCCCCGTGGCCATGGAGCAGTTATTTGCTCGACACTGGGCTTACTCAACAGTTGTAGGAAGATTATGTGCTGGGTGAGCTATATTTTGCGTTTTCATTTGCCGAGTTTCCCATATTCAGATTCTTTCAGTGAGTAAGCAGTATATTAAGACCAAAACTGTCACTGAATTGTCACTTATTTACCACTTTTTCAAATTAATATGAAAGCATGCGTTGTAAATTCTTATGTCTCTTTTCATTTCTCTACTTTGTTCAATGTTAAGATTTCTGATAATAACAGATCTTTGCCCTTGTTGAAAATTGTTCATCTGATGGTTAACTGCTTACTCTGTTCACCCAGCTTAACCTGCTTCAACTGTTGTGCTTGTATTATTTCCTACTGCTGCTTTTTTCTAACCAAATTAGGGGTACTTGAGTGGTTTATCTCTAATATTTTGGTCACTAAAAATGAGTAGCTGGATGCACATTATTTGGTGGCAGACAAGTATGAATGGAGTTCCGCACTTGAATCTTGACAACTATTGTGGAAATTATACATTATAGTTTTGTTGGGGGTGTGCCTGTAAATTCTACTTGAATGAAAATTTCAAAGTACTGAGAGGATGTAACCTTAAGAAAAACTTGACTTGTAGAAATGTTCAAATTTCTGATCTTGTTCTATTAAACTTCCCTTGTATATGTATCTTTGGCTCCTTTTTACTTGTAGTTCTTAGATTTGTTGGATTCACTCGTACTTGCTTCTTCTAATTATACAACTTCTTTGCATAAACATTGGACCTCAATGTTGATTTTTTCTATGAGTGAAGAAATAGTGCTTTCATGGTTGAGATTGCTAATCTATGAGATTTTTTCTTCCAAAGTATTAAAAAGCTTGTGAAGATTTGCAATAGTTATAAATCTATACCCACTTATGCTAAGCATAGTAAATATATATATATATATATATATATATATTCTTTTATTTCAATAATAGATAATGCCAACAAATACACAAGTCAACTTAGATGAGGATAATTTGCAACCTCTAGTACTAAATATAAACTCTTACAAAGAACGATAGTCAACTCTATTTAAAAAAAGTCATTGTCAAAAAACAAAAAACAATATTATTTTAAATGTGAGCAGTCTGCAATTTCTTAAAACTTAACCATACATCTTAAAAAATAGGATAATATACTCACTTTTTAAACAAAACAACTATAAAAAGTTAATAGTCTTATCAAATTGTCAAAGACATAAATCACAAAAAAACTTAAAAGATAGTATACTCATTTGTAAATGAAGAAAAGAGAAATTACAATAAAAGAAATGGTTATAAGATAGAAATGTACTAGTAGGACTATTGTCATATTCAAAGAGACTAAGAAGTCTTTAATTAAGATTGAAAATACAAAAAAGATGTTGACTTGATTGAGGATGGCTCCAATCTTGCCTTAACATATAACAACTATGAAGGTCTTGTAGAAACTGCTTAAGGACCATAAGACTTGTGGTCCAAGTCCTTAATTGTAGGTCACTTCCAACGTGACTTTCTAAAAGTGAGTGACTTGTAATACAAGTTTCAATAGCTACATTACATGTTTACAAAACTCTAAGTATCTAATCTGCATCAAAGAAACTTCCTTGAAACTTTTTAAGAAAAGATATAATCTTTCCTACATGTTTCTACTTCTAATTACTACTATTTACTTGAGTAATACGGATAGCCATTACACAAGATCAAAATGTGGTCCTTACATGTTGATTCTTAGAAATGGAGTTATTTTAGAAGTCACTCCTTGAACAAATTAGGATCTAGTCCAAGGTCATTAGGTTCAGCTAATGGATGAACCCAACAAACTTAATTGCCGTCTCCATGAATTGCCTCCATCTGGTTGTCCTTTCAAATGTGCCCTCTACTGCCCAGATGGCCTACCATTTTTGGGAGTATAATATCCTTTTATTTATTTAATTATTTTCATATTTGCTCTCAATTTGTACCTTACTTCCTATACCAAGTATTGTCTACCTATTGCACACGCTGCTGCTGCGTGCACTTGGCTTCCTCCCCCTCTCCCTACGCTCCCCTACAAGCTCAGCTGCTGTGTTCTCTTAGCGACTTCCAATCCCATCTACTGCTCCCTGCCGCAACCCTGTTGAGTTCGTCCCGTCTGCTGCAATTCCATCGCAACCTGTCTGTCACTCCCGATCCCTGCTGTGATTCTACTTCATGTTGAGTTTGTCCCGGTTGTTGCTCCCTGCTGCTCCCGCTCCTTGCTGCGATTCCCATTGAGTTCGTAGTCTCGCCGCAAGTCCTCGACTTCTTCATCCACTCCCTGCGCTCCCCAGTTAGCTTCGCCGCTTCAATCTCTGGGCGACTTCAAGTCCCATTGTGACCCCTTGCTCTACCTCCTAAGCGACTGTGATTCCATCGCAACCCCATCTGGTACTTTCTCCTGCGATTCCATGAAAACCGCATCGCGATTCCTTGATTTGTGTAGAGTTGCTCTAGTCACAAGGTTTAAGAAAGAAAGGTTTCCAAAAAAAAAAATTAAATTCTATTTTTAGAATTAATAATTTGATATATACTTTACTTTAAAGTGTTTTTATTATTATTATAATAATTTGGTGTTTTATATTACTACTAAAATGCATTTTTTAGAGATTACTGTTTAGTTTATATAATTTTTAGTATTTATGCATTGAAGTTAGTTTCTTTTAGTTTTTTGTAATATTACAATATTTTTGTTGTTATACATATTTTTATTATGTATTTTTTTTTATTAAAATTATTTATTTTATTTTTAGCACTCAAAAATTATTAAAAAATTTATTATTAACTTCTATGAAGTTTATCTGTTTACTTGTTTATATGTAAGTGGTTCTATTCTAATTAAAATTTGTACTTTAAATTTTATATCTTTAATTTTTTCTATTTTTGATATATATCAAGAGCAAGCATGGACAAGGGTAAAAATATTCTAAGTATTCAAAATCCCCCTCTTCATTCTATGAGTTATAATGACTTGGTATCTACTCAAAGATTTATAAGGAGTTCAAGTGTAAATTTAGTTGTTGTAGTTATGACTCAATATATTCTTTGGAAGCTGGTTTAAGTTTTTTAGAAGAAAAAAGAACAGAAGACAGATTGGATGTTACTTGATTAGTTTATATTAGTGTCAAGAGAAATCTAAATATCATACATCTTCAATTAATTTAGAATTTCGTCTCTTATTATTATTTTTTTTTTTTTGTAATTGATCTTTGATTAGTAGGATTGTGATGCCTTCCTCATGTAAATCATGATACTAATAATAATATTAAAATTTATAAAATGTGCATTAAAGGAGAGGTTTTTTCAATTAGATAAGAGAATCTTTGGAAAGAAGAATAGATTGGTCAATGTGAGATTTCACAACTTTTATTGTTATATGTTACATGTATTAAGAGGACCAAAAGTATAATAGATTTGTTGTCATCAAAAAGATCAAAGGAATTATAAAGGAAAGTCTTCTAAAATCTTTCTAATGAGTCTTTCTAAAAAAGACATTGTGGAACCAACTTCAATAGATGATCTTTGGAAAGTGAAATATCAAAATTCTCAAGACCTCCAACCTTCGCATGTAATTTCTAATATTGTTTTAGATTATGCATGTTGTTCTTGTGAGCATACTATAAGAAGCAATATGTGCAAACATAAAATTGCTATTCTTTTTTATTACATATCTAATTGTTCCTTGAAAATTTTATTGAAATTATATGGAACATTCTAGGGTAGTAAACATAGAGGATGAGAAGAATGAGACTACATTGTATTAAAGAGAGGTTTATTGATTTTGATATTTGTGAGAGTTATAGAAAAAATGAAGAAGTAGAAGAAGGAAAATGAGAAAGTAGAAGAAAAAAATAAAGTTGAAGAACCATCAATGGCATCCATGAGAGAGTTTTATGTAAAAGATATAAAAAGAGAGATCAAAATGTGCATATTTTTTTGTAGAGGGAGGATCTTGTTGCAATACAATACTTTGCTACAATTTTCCATTAAACATATAATGAAGCACAAACCCTTACTTTTCAAATTTCTACCAACTCTATTTGTTCAAAAAAGGTTTTTGAATCAAGGATAGACAATCCAAGTACATCTATTAAACAAAAGAGAAACTTCATAGAAGTTTATTTGTAAAGAAATTCTAGAACTAAACCTCATATGTTAGAAAATTAAACATACTTTTTTATGTAGTATTATGTTATTTGATCTAATTACATTTATATACTATATATTTTTAATATATATATGACTAAATATTTATTTCTTTTTATTTTATTTTACATAAGTTTTATGTACAAAGTATTGTAATTTTTTAATTTATAATAATTGATAAATCAATTTAAAATTATCTTAAATACATAATTAAGTCTATTTATTGATGTTATGTTTAATTTATTACATATTATATATATATATATATATATATATATATATATCTAATTAAAAATATGTAATATTAATGTATAAATAAGATATTATTTTAAAAAAATAATAAAATATAATATGATTATGAAATAAAAAATAATCATAAAAATCACATAAAATTATATAAATAAACATGAAATAAAATACAAAAATTAATTTCATCATATATTATTATAAAATTATAGTAGATTATATTACAAGAACCAAATCTTAAAGATTTTAATATAATACATATTATAGTAAAAAAATCATAGACCTTTGTGGAGGAAATACAATGCCTTATTTGTAACTCCACGTATGTAGAAAAACTATTATATTGTAATAGTAGTCCCATGATGGGTGGAAATAATAAAAGTGTAAGTGGAAATATCAATTTTCTAAAAACATATAGTTATATAATTGTAGAATCATAATGAATTTAATATTCCTATATAATAAATAAGAATTCATGTAATGATCACATTATAATAATGATAATGATAATAATGTTATGCTATAATTATATAATGTATAATCAATTTAATATATAAAAATTAATAAATTCAAGTTAATATATAAAGAGACTTGATAACACTACATCCTCAATTGATATCACTATATCCCTATGACCTCCTTGTAGACAACTAGTTAATAATATACAACTAATTAATAATATACCTCTTTCTTTTGCTCATTTTTTCCTTTGTTTGTTGTAAGAAATGGTGGTCATATTCTATTTTGGGGTCAATATTGGGGTTATATATTGGGCTACCAATCATGCCCTTAGTGTAGAA